TAAGTAGACCTACTAGGAGCATCCCAAACAATGTAAATTCAACCTAACCCCAACTCATTTCTAATAATAGAATGAAAAATGTCCCATTAATGTGATGGATCTCGTTTGTACGTTGGTCATCGTATTGAGATGGATCGCCGAGTCAAACGGATTTCGTAATAAAGCTTCACAATCGGTCTGGGCTTGAACGCTTTAAGAGGGTCGATGTACCCGCGCATTATACGATCATCATGCGTACATATACATATGTGAAGTGTCTCCCTCACACGCCTGATACGCGTATAGTCGTGAGAATCCTTGAGCAAGTCAAGAAATCGTAATTCTCACGAGCCCTACAATCGGGCCTTTCGCGTAATTTCTCGGCTTGGGTTGCAGTCACACGCCATTTGCCTGAAGCAACTAGAACAGCAGACACGCATCTTTCTAAAGTTGTATTTAGAACCGCTTCGTTCCTCTTCTCGACATTGAATACGCATTAACCACGCTTTCATAACTTTCTATTGTACAACGTTTATTCAAGCCGACGTAACTTACGTAGTGCACATGTATATTGACGTTATAAATACAATAAGTGAAGTTTTCAAAATGATTAACAGAAAATCGCCACTTTTTACTTTGCAGTTCCCATAGGCAGTAATTAACATGATTTGTAACAATTTATACGAGGAGAGCATAATCAATTAAAAATATTGTATAAATATGTTATAGAGTTTTAGCAATAATAATTTGTGAACTTCCGAAGGATATTGTATTTTATTTTTTTTCCTAATCGTACAAGGGGAAGTTTTTTGGGAAGACATTATCGAAAAAATAATTATTTTATTACGATCGTAATTATCGTACGCACGCGATTATTCTCAGTGTTGAGATCTCATCACCTGTAAAAAATCTTCCAAGCATCACGAGTATTATCTTACTGCGAAGACTCACGAAGGACGTTGATCGTAACAGGAAAACCACGACCCTAGCGTGTGACGTGAAATATATGGTCAAGAAATGATTCCACAAAACTGACATTTGGTTTTTTACAACTCTGAATATTTGCAAACGAAGTGCAATCTATACGTGTGATAAAGTTTACGACCCACATACATATTTAAAAGTCCCATTTTATCTAAACTGTAAATACATAAACTGAAGAAATCTGAATTCATATTGCTGATATAAATCTAACTTTTTTCATTTCAGACTGCTCTACATACAGGAAGTGGAACGCAGCAGCAATATCTGGAACCAAGAATGGCGCAATTAGAAACCTTGGAAGCAAAGGTAATAAAATAAAGAAGATTTATATCGTTTAGTATATAAAGTGAAAATAAACTTTTTAAACTAAAATTACATACATAATACATATTTTATAATTTTGTTAATAATAATACACAGCGAATGCACAAAACAAAAACCTTCAAAGTACGAGAAACAAAATCTTAGGAAGAAATTGCATCTACAATGACCCCATTGCACAATAATTTACCAACTAATAATACATTAGTGAATTTACAAATTACAAGTTATAGATTATAGATTTTTTTTCATAATTTTAAAATTTTACTTACTTCTTTATGTAAAAGAATTTATTAATGCTGTAACTTGTAACTCGTAAAATTTCACTAATAATACTACTTCAATTACGCAGCAGAGTCCATGTTACTTAAAAAATTTTGTTTCGCTATTCTAGAATATGAAATTCTTGCTACGCCCAGGATCATTCTTTTTTACATCTTTTTTTTCTTTTTGAAAGACTCGCGCAAAAAGGTAGGTATATGGAAGTCGTTTTTAACCGTAACATCCCGTCGGAAGAAACCGAAGGCGATGTTTCGCGGTTATTGGCGGGTCCGCAATAGCCCCCAGCTTTTTAAGGCTGTCCAACCAGTGATTTATATGCAGATGCATGGACCAAACTGTGTTTCGTTCAGGGCCCTTCACTCGAGTTTCGGACTGAGGGACCGTGTGCGCGCGGGTGCCATTAAAACTGCCCCGAGTCAGCACACAGATACCCAATAGCGCAGCATCCTCAAAAATTCTTTTTTTTAATTCCACTTATGTCGATAAAATCGTAGGGTTTTGTTCCATTATTAAATTCTTCTATCTTTAATCTTTCGTGCGTATAATAATTTAACAGAAAATTAAGAAAGAGACAGAGCAGTGAAAAGATAATTTTCTTAAAACTTCTAAAATACATTTTAGTAAAACGTACACGTTACTTTTGATTAAATTTATATTTTTTGTTTTCCTACGATATAGGAATATAGAAATAAATATGTTACATACTACAACTGCTTCCTTAATTTTGATTCACTAAGATATATCTGTTAGAAGGAAAAATCATGTATCCATCCGTCATCATACACGAAACAACTGTGATCTTTTATCTCACCCTTCGGCGTTAGCAAGCATATTTTCTTAACTTTCTTAAGACGCGATTAATGTACGTTGTCAGATTCGTTGACTTCTTCGAGCATGCTACAAAAATCCATTCCGATGTTTACGCCCGAACAGACCAGCGCGAAGTCATGTTTTGCCATCTCAGAGGAAAAAGGCAAAAGCAAAAGAAAGAATGGACGAAAGAGTAAAAGAAAGAGAAAACAGAAGGAGCGTGCTGTGCACAGGGGGCTCGATATGAATAATGAAGAAGAACGTCGACTTGAAAAGGTTGCATCGACGTCGATAGGATATCTTCTTACCACGAGCCAAAAACGTTTTTCAGATACGTAATGATCTTTGTCGATGGAAGGAAGATTTTCGCATTGCTTCGTAACAATTTTTGGAACTTTCTATACAAAGCTCAAAGTTTGCGACGAATATTCTTTCGTAAAAGAAATCAGCGACTCGAGGACAGTGAAGTAAATTTTGTTTTTATGTAATTTATAAATCCATAAATAACAATGAAAGTTCTTAAAGTTGGTAATGGTAACAATAAAATTCTAAAAAGTAATACATATACTAAGTCTTTATACTTTACTGCTAAATTTGTAGCTCGCTACAGATTAAAGATTATTATAAAAATACAAAATGACGAGCAACATTTATTTTCATGAGAATGACAGAAAATAAACTAAAACACCATTTCATTGTTTCAATTTACTGCTAAATATACTTTATTTGTAAATGTACTAATCTACTGGTCAAAGGTAGGCTTTAGTACGTCCTTGGGTTGAAAGACTCAGACAGATCTAGTCAGCCAGATTGCAGATCCTGGAGTCAGTGCCCTTTACTGTCTGAACAGCAATGCGCCAAGCAAGATTTCGTCTTCTTAAAACGTTGAAAACACTGCCTTTCACAAATTTCGCGCTCGAATAACTGTTTTCAGAGATAATAATTTAACTTCATTGGAAACAATGGAAGTAGCAGCAAGCGCAAGAAAACTTTACAATATTTTGATCAATGTAGAAATAGACACACATAACATTTATCGTTATAACAGATACGTGATGATCTCTGCAAATAAATTTTATTCCATCTATTAAATTTTATCTCTATGTTGTCATTTGCTATAATTAAAAGAATATTCAGTATTATATATGATATATATAATGGAAAAATCCTGCACTGTGGAAAACTGGAATTATACGAAGTGATTCGTATGATTTCAGAATTATGTCAGGAATTTTATTGTTTGCGATATATTTCAGGGAATTTGTTGATACTATCAGAACACATGGAAAAGATAAAGTAAACGCGAACACGCGCGCTATTCTCTGGGCGCAACTATTGTATCGTACAGTTGCAGAAGAGGGTGGCAGGATTATCTCGGAAATGCGGATCTTCCCCATGCAAATTCCGCAATAAATTTCCGCTTCCTCCGTGCACACCGCTATCATCCTCCTGCAATGTAACGTGTACAGCGCGCTTCCACACGGGAAAAAAATTCACGGAATGTTCGTACTGAGATCACCGTCCATCCGTTCCCACTTTTACTTCTCAACGGGGGAGAAGAAAGTGTTAGATTTGATACAACTCCTCGCTGCGTGTCTCTATTACCTCATTATTTCAAAAATGTTATGTGGCACTATTTTGTTACGTTATGAGTCACCGCGTAGTATACTTTCCCTCTCAGTTAAAACGTCTCATCTATCGTTTTGAACTTTGGAAAAAGTGTCGTGCCATTATTGTTTTTCTTTATCCAACTGAAAATATTTAGTTCTTATTTCCTAACTTTATCCGTATAACTTTGTTTAAAAAGATGAAAAACACACGGAATTTTAGATATTTCAACATATCTTGTAAAATCAAGAAATGGTAGATAAGGACATATTCGCGATATATAAGATCATATATAAGATTCAGTAATTCATAGAGTCAGATATAAAAGGAAAGAAATAGTACATACGTATAAGTTCGTTAATTTATTTCATCGCTATCGACTGTTTGACACTATGGCATCATTGGAATATCATATTTATGGAAAGCAAGTACTTCACGGCTTGCACCCAAAGCCTTGAACTCGGATTGCCTTTTGTTTTCTACCACATACAATACAACGTGCGTAGTTGCTTTGTTTGATTCTGTCAACCTTCAGCAAAGACTAAAAAAAAACGAACCAATTGCAAAACGATAATAATATTTTCGTATCCTTACGCAGATTCAGGCACTATTTGAATAAAATATTTGAAATAATTGATTATTTATTAAAATAATATTGTAACACTGCGCACGTTAAAACTTTAAAACAAAAGGAATTCCTAAAGTATAATTTTCTAAGATAGGAATACTGGACATAAAGGTAGAGGTTTCGTAACAGTAGTTTTATGTATAATCAGCCGTCTACAGTTCCCTTTCCAAGAAAATAATTTCCGGTCTTGAAATAATACCATTCTTAGAAACAGTATAACACTACGAATCAGAGTAATAGCATTCTAGTTATCAAAACTGTTTGTACTTAATAATCTTATTTCCTCCAACTTTTTTAAAAGTTTGTAACTTTAAATCGCATTTATGATTTTTTAAAATCGAACAAATGTACAGATACGAACATTAGACGGTACGTTTACTATTATACTTTTCACTACGTTAGAATTGTTTTACGTTTTTCTTCTTAAGGCATTGACGTATAATCTTCCGACTTAAAACGAAATAGGATCGCATGGAAAGTTTTATCCTATAACCGTGAATCTTTATGCCGTAAATCTTAGTTGGAGATAATCTCATGAGCGGACGGCGAGTAGCCGGCGCGAAAAAGGCCCAAGCGAACGAAGAACGTGCGAAGCGAAAGGTGACGGTTAGAAACCGTTTATCTTACCTGTGGATGAAAATAAATGCGCCAAGACTTAACAGAGTCTAAATTAACTTATTCAGTAACTTCATTACGCAAACGGAATTCTATAACAATCTTGCGGTGCTATATATCTAAAAGTAAAAACGACACGAGCTAAATATGACATATTAAGTATCACAATTAATTTAAAAAATTTCAATGCTTTGATAAGAGGTGAAAATACAAGCAGAGCGCAAGGAATGTTTGGCAATGGCTACGGAGGATATCCGGTTAGTTGAATATTTTCTGCAAGCAAATCTAGTTGGTGGTCTCGTGTGGGACACACTGGGCGTGCAAGGTCTCGTATCGCATCCTTCTTTCTGGTTGCTGCGCAGTCAAGGCCGGCATTGACCTTCTCCGTGTTGTATGCCAGCAGGAGAGACCAAGTGCTGCTTTCTCAAGGACCATCGGCGTGCAGTACCGACGTGGAACTCCATTAAGATCGAGACATCCCGTTCCGACTATCGTCGCAAATCATAGATTTACTAGAGCGATAAATTTATATTTACACCATCGCTGTTTTACACCCCGAGTTTCAACCACGTTCAAATCACATCCTTAGGCTAAAGAAATATTGATTCTACCATATTGTGAGTTTAGCTTCCGACTATTAGAATGAATTATTATTTGGAAGATCGAAAGATTAGACAAGACTCGGTTTCTTTTTGGAAATTTGTAACTGTTTATATGTGCGTGTAAAATACGATATCACGATTGTAATTAAGAATATCTGTTTGTCCTCAGATGGCCAGTATCGAAGTATCTTTGTCAACTACGCCAAGAAGAAAGAAAGGTGGAAGCATTTCCGGTGGAGTAATATCGCCAGCTGGTCATCGAAATAGAGATCATTATAAGGAGCTAGACGCTCTTCGAATTGCATTACGCGACAAGGAAAATATCATTCAAACGTAAGAAACGTTTCATGAATATATAATAGTATATAATAGTACCGAACAAATGTTTTCCAATAATCGCTTCTTGCTGTAGCGTTCTGATTTTTTATATCATTTGTAAGAAAACGTAAAGTTTCGATCGCTTAGAGCGATCGGCTGGCTTTCGTCACCCTCCGTCCGAAGAAGAGAAAGCAAAGACACTTGAGGGTGCAATAAATTAAGCCCGCCGCGTACTGAATCGTGCGCTGGCAGGCTGCAAGGAATTTGCGACTGCTACGCTTACGATATTCTTTCATCTTTTGTGCAATTGTCAGCTTTTTAAATAAATCTTAACGATTCAGTGACTGTGTTCTCTTCGGCATAAATAAATCTATGGAAAATATCAAATAACATTTCAAATATTTCGGTTTCGTTTCTAGGGTTAAGTTTTAATTTGGTTTTACAGACTGAAAGGGCAACTGTGCAACACACTGAGCAACAGATTAGCTTTACGTAATGGTGCTCCACCTCTAACCGAGGCTGACAGAAAAGCAGCCGAAGAACGACTTCAAAGGTTGCGACGCGATGCGGATAATAAGCGGCTAGCGATAAAAAATTTGAAATTAGCGCTCGAACGACTAGATATTACAGAGTAAGTAGAAAACTTGAATGATTCTTGTGTTGTCAATCATCGATTAAGCTAAATAAATATATTTATAAGTGTGTCAATTATTGAAAGATTAGATTAAAACAAAATTTATATTGGAATAATAGAGTAAATAAAAATGGGAAATAAATTGTGAAGTGACCGTATTGTATATAGAATCCTATATGGTCTAGTGGCTAGGACACATGGCTTTCATTCAGAAGGCTTGGATTCAGTTGCCCATATAAAAAATTTTTTTTCTTTATTTATATATTCTTCTCGTTTATTTTATATGCAATTTGTATATCTTGCGAATAATTATACCGTTTATTATATTTGATTGTAATTATCTAGTAAAAGAATGTAACTTAATTAATCATTTTTATTCCAGTAATATCGATGTTCGAATTCAACAAGCTGAATTAGAATACAGACTTGGACGCGAAGAACTCGAGCTTTTAACTCTTCGCGAAGAAAGCAGAGCTTTACAGGCTGCTTTGGAATTGGCAGAGACCCAGGAGAAACAGAAAAATGATACAATATTTAGGTATCTATCCTAAAGCAATAAATACTTTAAAAATGACAACTCGATAAAGATAAAGATATTATATCGAATTTGTACGATATATGTTTTAACTAGGTAAAATATATTTAATCGTATCTTAAATATTATCATTGACCTTATTACATTAACGAAATTTTAGGCCATAATGATTATGAAATACGATAGAATAAAGTATCTTTGATATTTGATTTATAGTTGTATCTCTGGTTCTACGCAAGTTACGATCCATGCAGTGGAAGTTAGCGCAGATCCAAAAAGTCCCCGTTTTGGTGCTGGACCAAGAGAAGACACACCTGGCTTGTATGTCGATTGGGCAGTTGAAGATTCTGGATTATGCAAGGGAGACAGGTTTCGTACAGTACAATATTCCACATTTTATTCGATAACTATACTATACACTTAAACATAAATGATTACTAAACTGCGGATATCTATGTTTATGAACACAACTAAACAGGTAGACTCTAGCTAGAGATTTGTTTCATTTATTAAATATTATGTAACTAGTACCATATTTTGAATATTTTATATATTTTCGTATATTATACGCAGTCATGGTAAAATTTATAAAAACAATTTAATAAGTAATCCAATAAAAAGTCACAAAGTGACTCATTATCTGTATAACGGTATATTATTGTAAACAGGATTCTTTTCCCTTTATCTTTAGTCCGGATACTGACGACTGGCGGTGAACACGGTCATAAAGTATGTTTTCTACGCTTAGCAATTAGCACGTAAAAGGAAAAACGATTATTTCTTCTCGCTGAATGAAAAGATCGTACAGAATAGATCATTTGATTTCATTTATAGTCTTCATGACAGAACACCTGTCGTTCGTAATAAATTGTAACATTTCTCCAAGAGAAAGCAAGCAAAACTGGGGTAATAAAATTACGATTTGTGATCAAAGAACAATGAGGAAGAAGATAGACAACGAAGAAAGTAAATAAAAAATAAGGAATAGGAAGAAAGGTGAAGATTATTAAAAAAGGAAGCACATCAATACATATAAATATAACACATAACACCAACTGCTCACACTATGTAACCCAGCTATCATTGTCGAACAATAGTGCAATCTTGGCATTTGGTTCCCAACAGGTCACTGTAGCGTGAAGCAGCACCGGAAGTTCGCCGAGTGCCCTCGCTAATTGCACCTGCGGCTTCACATGACCCTATCCTTTATCCTCCCTCCCATTTTCATGTAGATTTTTTAGCAGCGTTTGTTACAACTCACACCGCTGTATTTTACATTCAGCCTTTTATACTTATTTAAATGTATAGTAGAAAATAGTATAAATGATCAAAATTGTTTTAAGTTCAATACCTTTCATGAATGATTCGCTTTGCTTTATTTTGTTCTTGATTGGAATTATATAATTATATAGGAATTATATAAATTCTCAAAGAGAATAAATTAGTCTTTTCGCCAAGTCTCAATAGAATAAGTCAGCCCTTGCTTCGAAAACTGAAAAATTTCACCTAATTAAGCATAATCACGCTCATGAAACTCGTACTTATCGGTCAACATTGTCTACAGAATCTTGGAAGTGAATGGAAAACTTGTGGTGGGAGCAGGCAGAAGCGATTTAGCAAGGCTGTTGGCCGTTGCACCCGATGCAGCGCAAATCGTGGTCCTTCGAAAAGGCGAATCCCTGGCAGCACTCCGCACTCTTCGATCTGATAACCTTAGGCTGACTCACAGGATCGGATATCTCGAGGAACAAGTCAGGGATCTTCTCGCACCAAGTAGAGCCGAGGTTCCTGCAGACCCTCCACCGACCCGTCAAGAACAAGTTCAGGTATACGAGAGGACGACAAATACATTATTCTTCTTAGTTGAAAGCATTGTACAAAAAGATATAATACATTATTCTATACGTTAGTCCATAGGTCTTTATCATTTCTTCACAACCCTATTATACAGGATGCGGCATTTAAATGAAAACAACTGTACAGTGGTTCACAAACTATTTGAATATTCTTTTAGAACAGTAAAAAATGTTTGTAAATTCAAAAGCACCCAATTTATTTCGACATTTTGCAACAACTAGAATTTAATCTTTATTACTTTTTTTTAGGTTTTTCAAAAAGGACCACAGGTAACTGCGTTAGTTGCAAATCTTCCTGGCCTTAATGTACGGAATTCGATGGAATTACGGCAGAGTTTACCAACAGTAAGAAGCAGGCACAATGACCATTCAAAACGTTCGCTAGACGTAAAAATCTCGAACGAATTCGACTCGTCATCGGCTAGTATTTTCAATGGTCATCACAAATCACGAAGTAAGCAAAAACATCAAGGATTTCCATTAACCAGGTCAACTGCAAGCTTGGATTGCAAACAAACGCAGATACAATCGCAACTACAACGTAGAAGACCACCGCGCGTTGAATCAGCTTTGGAACATTTATCTAAGAATCGTAAAAATTCATCTCAAGTACAACCGTTAGACTTCGATTCCGAACCAACCTATTATCGATTACAGGTATTTTGTTAAATTTTAAATTATGATTGAAGTAACTAAACGGATGGATAACATTTTCTTTCGCAAACATATTACAATGATTATTTGAAAGAAACGAATGTCTGGTAGACCAGTGATTAGCTATTCGTGAAATTAGAATTATGATTTCCGTAGCTTAGGATTCTTTGTCATTTCAGGAGACTCAGTCGCGAGCGTCAGAAAACTCGGATATATCGGTAGTCTATAGCTCCCAAGAATCGAAATCTCGCCCAGCACCACCGAAAAAGCCACTTCGATTGTCTCTACATCGAGCAGCTAGTCTTCAATCCGTAGAAAGTGCACCACCATCTGCACACCATGAAATAGCTAAAAAACCGATGAAAAGAAGTCATAAAGGTGATCCACCGGAGAAAGGCATTAGAACGGAAACAAATGGAGAAACAAATAACCAAATGCAAGAATCGCATTCCAATCCACCTCAACCTCCGCCGAGGACACCTTCCAGAGCAGAGTCTTGTCAAAGTGCGTTACGATGGCCTTCCCCTAAGCCACGACCTCATTTAGCACCTGTCACTATGGAAAAATGGTGCTAAACAAAAAAAAATGTAAGGGAAGAAAGAACCATTATGATATGAATGATATTTCAAATATCGACGTACACTGCATATTATACATATTTTTATGTATTATCTGTTCAGTGTAACATGAATATTCGAGTAGTATTAACAACGAATCTTTTAAGATCTCTGTTATTATAGAAAAAAATTGGGGAACTTACGAAGATTTTTATACGATGCATTTGTAAATACAAAATGATATTTTTATGCTTTTTACCTGTACTTTAAGAAGACTGAATTGTTCTGGATTTATTCGTACGCTATTTTTATACCTATTTTTAAATTTTATGTTTAATTATATTAGCTGATAATGTTTCGTTGTATACATTCATTTCATGTACTATGGAATATAAACGTTCAAAGTAATCGATTACGTAAAAAAGTTTCGCTTTATAAGTTAAACAAATATTTCGTACAAAGTACGTGAAACGTACATTTATACTCCCTAATTTATAAGTATTAGTTCTAAAAATATGAATCTTTTTTTATTTTTATGTGATTAAGATAGCTTTATATATATATGTATGTATATCATTACGTGAACATCAAATCCAATTTTTTTTCATCAATTGCTAGTCGAAGTATATGTAGTATTAATTAAAATATTAAAATGATCATTTTTTTGAAAAAATAAAAATTTTATGTAATAGAAATATATAAATAGTTTTATTCTCTCAAATTACATATTCTTATCGTAGAATTCATTCTTATTTCTGCATAGTTCTTTGACAAAGTCTAGCAAGAAGACTGTTCATTTGTAGTAAACTATTAATTCCATCCACTATTCCTAGATGAGTTATTCCAATCTCCTAAAATGATAGTTCCAAATTTGTATTTTCATATCTATATCGATATAAAATATTCATTACATATTCATACACAATATAAATATATTTTAACTTACTTTTATAAAATCTAATTTTAATGGTTCTTCGATGGATAGATTTGTACAAACTCTGAATATATTACTGATCAAATCTTCTGCAGAATATCCCATTTTCCATAAATGTTCCATTATCTATAAACATTTATCAAAAAGGGCATTTTATATTCTTATGGTATGTTAAATGGAAGTTTTTAAAATAGCATAATATCTTACCCCATATGCTTTGGAAATTTTACCCTGTGCACATAATTCCAACATTTCTTTAACAAGTAATGGATGTGGTTCGTCACAGACTTTAAAAACATTCTCACTGTTTACATGTCCAAAACCATTATAAGTTGATTGTAAATTATTTAGAGCCTGTCTCATATCACCCTGTGCAGTAAATACTATTGCTTCTAAACCATCATCTGTATGTGAAACCTAGTTAATTCATTATATATATAGTGTTATTGCAATACATTTTCATTCAAATATTTAAATAAAAATACAACAATTTGTTAAAGATTGATCGTACATCTTCTTTCTGACAAACTTCAATAATCTTTGCTAAAATTTGCGCATCTGATAATTTTCCATATCTTAACATGGCACAGCGTGACTGTATTGGCTCGATAATTTTTTCACTTGTATTACAAGCTAGTGCAAACCTAGTTGTATTGCTATATATTTCCATTGTCCTACGTAATGCTTGTTGCGCACCATCAGTCATGCTATCAGCTTCATCCAGAATTATTATTTTGTGTTTTCCTTTTGCCAAATTTACCTGAATAAACATGGAATAAATGTTTGACAAAGAAAATTTAAAAGGGATATATGAAGGGGTTTGATATAGTATCAAACATAGAAAAAAATACTTACTCTCTTTTGGGCAAACATTTTAATTTTATTTCTGACAACATCTATTCCTCTCTCATTTGAAGCATTTAATTCTAATACTGCTTCCTTAAACGCTGGTCCTAATAAAATACGTGCCAAACATAATATAGTTGTAGTTTTACCAACTCCCGGTGGACCAGCAATGATAATATTAGGACAGTTCCCATGTTCAGCAAATACCGATAATCTGGATACTGTGTCTTCATTACCAACAATGTCAGAAAATATTTGTGGTCGATACTTTTCAATCCTAAACAATTAATGACCTTCATTTATTAAATTACTTTGTTTGCATTTTAACTTCCTTTTCTATTACTCTATAAATATATAAATCAATTATGGAATAAAAACATAACCTCAAAATTTGTTAGTTTCAAAATTATATATTTATTTATACTGACATACCATGGCAAATTGGCCGATTTCTTATCTTTTTCTTTATTTTTTATATTATAACCACTCGTCGATGGCACAGCTTCAATATTCATAGGTTCACCGACAATATTCTCAACTCCCATCTTTAAACTTTAAGTTAAAATCGCGGGAAAAATCGACCAGTTCGTTTAAACATGGATAAAATAGGAATATAAAGTAACAAGTTTTGATCATTTTTGGGACAGTGCAAACAGGAGAGTTGCATTATCGATTAGTAATGATTTTTGATAATAGAGGAACAATACCTACGTACTAAGTTCTTAAAAATTTATATTCAAAATATTTTATTTACGGAAAGTATTTATTATCTAAAAATACTATAAGAGAAAGATAGAAGAAAATACATATAGTAGAAGGAAAGAAAGATATATAATGTAATCTTGCGATAATATTGACGGCGTTACAAAATACCACGCTACGCCTTAAGAGGTCGCGAGTATCGATCGAATTTTGCGCATCTAGTAAATTTTACGCGATCGTCTCTCTTTCACTATCGTTTTGTCGATGGCTTATGGAATGAGATTTCAATATGGCAGCCGTCGTGATATCTGCACGAGTCAGTATCGCGGAAATGTTTTGAACTCGTTGAGTAATCGCGACAACCGGTTGACGTACAACGCATAGGTTAGTAGGACGAAATGACATTTTGTTCTTGTATCAGCTTTCTTCATCGAATAGATCAGTTTGTGTCAGGAAACCGGGTTTTCGTGAGAATCGTTTTTCTCGTAAAGTTGGGCCGCTAAAGTATATAGTTTGGCCGCAGTATCGTTCCAATGCAGGCATAGGTTACCTCGGCTTTTTCATTCCTTGAATCAAATTCAAACGCATATCACCTTAAATGGGAATCCGACGCTCGTTTCGTTTAACCTGACGATGTATGTGCATGTAACATCATGTATGTTTTGCGATTGTATGCTTGATGTGTGTACGTTTTTCTCAGCGAGGCTACATGTATGCGTGTACGTGTCAGGTGTGTGGATGCTGTTGTCGATGCGTGTATATTCATGAAATGTTTAGAATTGTCGCTTATCTTTTCTTTTCGAACGGGACATTGGTTGAGTGTCGCGCGTGTTTAAACGTCAAGAAAGAAGACTCGTCGTGTGTGTTTTTGACACATCTCGCCATGCTGAATGGACAGCATGGTGTTGCGGCCCGCTACGTACCGAACAATTCACTTGGGAACGGCATTTGGTAAGTTAATATAACTTCTTCTGTGTCATTTTTCCCCTATCATCGTTCAGTCATCGAAATTTTTATGACAAGTGCTTTCTATTGTATCGTTCTTCGATATCATTTAACATCCCACTGTATTTTGAATATCAGCGCCATGAAACTTCTTCATTATTTTATTTAGAAACTAGTGTCATTCTTAATTACTTACGTTGAAAATTAAGGAATTCTATGAATTGCTTGTTAATGCAAATACGTAGTATACTACTTTTATTTCGGCATACTCAGATAATCGCTTCCGGTTCTTCTTGATATTCGAAATATTTAATCGTGGGAAGGACATGATTCATTAAATTTTGCTAAGTTTGCGTCCTGCTAAATGCGATTCCATTTTTATTTGTTCAACATTTTTAAATTTTATACACACACGATATTTTACATAATTGATAATAATAGAAATTAAATTGTTATTAGTTTATTCAAAATCGACCACTTTATTTATCGCATGTTATTAAATTGTGACATATTCATAGCTAAAATCTGTGTATATATATTTATAGATATTGGACATCTATTGCTTATTGCGTAATCCGTTCCTAATTTATTTTACATTTAAGTAATATCATATGCATAAATCAAACAATGTAACATCCGTTGTGCTGTGATATAGATTTCATCATCTTACTTATTAGCATAAAATCTACTGAACAAATTTTATATGTGTATATATATATATATATAAAGCAATAAATTACAATTTTCTTGCACAAAATGTTTGAAAAAGGTTTGTAGTACTTACGTTCTTCATTTTAATATACTCATTTATACAGTAATTTTACAATTAGTTTTAATTAACTAGACAACCACGTTCAGGAACATTGATGAATATTGATTTGAAAAAAGCAGACATATATGTATATACGTAGATAATAAAGCGCAGCTTCAGCATGTAAAGTATGCAAGCATACACAGTTACTTGAACGTATAACGCGTGTTATAAGTTTACATTAACACGTGTTATTGAATTCGATTATTTCCCACGATTGAAAGAGCATATTTATTATCTTTTGGGGATTCATTTTTGCACTAAATCCGTAACTATATTAAATAAATTTTAATTCAATACAATAGTTAGACTGCGGATGCTTATGCATTTTTTAATAATTTAATATTTAATTCAATTCGCGATATGAACTATTATTCAAACATTTTTTTTTACGGTTATATCTTTAAATCTAAAAATCTATTTTTAAATTCGCTGTCTAAATATTAGGACAAAACGGTGTTACAATATTAGTATTAGAACAGATTCTACTGGTTATTTAAATTCTAAATTTGAACAACTATCAATCATTGGAAACGCGTAAATTCTCTTAATCCGACAGCTATTGTTTTCTTGTCGAACTTTCTGTAGTGCATCAGTATAATTATGGTTGATTTTATACATATTTGTTGCTAGAATTCGGTCTAGATTATATATATACCGTTGAAGCACCTATTTTCTGCTTTTCGGCCCTGACATATTCGGTTGACGCATTCTGTAGATTACATCGAATAATTAGAGAATACGTACTGGTATCAGTCGTAGTCGGCTGTTTTTGGCCCGATCATTTATACTCTTTCTGAATTTACTAGACGCTAGAGAAATATTACAGTGTAAGAAATATTACGCATTAAATCTTCGCTACTGGCTTTTCGTTTCGGTTGGCCAATCGAATCCGCAAATATCAAATTATCCGATTTGTCTAGAGTATATCCGGTTTAAGTATCTACTGCGCAATTCAAAAGATTACGTTAATATTGGAATCTCTGGAAATATCGATAAAAAACAATTTAAACGTTTCAGTAAGTTTCTCGTATAAAATAAGGCAACTTCGGTACATAACCTTTTTTGTATATGTGTATATGTTTATTTACTTTCTGGCTTCGCAGCCCGGAGACAAGCACTTGGCTTACACATTTCCAACTCGCACTCATTCCCATACAACCGCCACGGTACTCGCCATATCCAAAAACCCACACTCCCATCTCAAACACACATATCACCTTTCATATCTGATACTAAGAACATAACATTTTTTGTACTTTCAATAATCGCAGTCTAATCCTGCTATGTCGTTTTGGTCATTCTCGATGCCTAAGAATTTGTCTGCTAAAATGAGATCACGATTAATGTAAAAATTAGGGCATCGCGATAGAGTTAAACCGATCGTACTGTATAAAACGCTATGGAAGAATTAGTTAATCATTCGTGAGAACACTTTTCAAATTGCACCGTTTGTTATCGTTATAATTGTCAAAAAGCGATACAGCGTATCTCTATTATGTTTTCGGATGCTTAGATTAGCGGATTGTTGATATCAGTTCGTAGAATTGAACTCGAGCCTTGCTGAATGCGCTTCAGAGAACATTTCTTAACTTCTGTTTGCGTTTAGACGGGATTACTGAAATCTTCAAACAACGCCGATGGCACAGTAATAAAGTAGCTTTGAAAAAATATGAAACGTGCATTAATATTTGTAACGATAATTCAGATGGATATAGCGAAAAAAATTGATATGCTTCGACACATGTCGAGTATAGTATCTAATTAGTATTGCATACATGAAATGCAAAGTATTTGGGAAAATTATCTTCAGATCGTTGTTCACTCTGAAAATGAATTGCTTCTTGAATATCCTTAATTCAAGAGCCTACACGTATTCCTAAGCGGAATCTCTTCAGTGTATTCCTGTAAAGCTTTTAAGCGAGTTATTATAAAAATATGTATTAATAATAATAGGTTTATGGGCCATTACGTTTAGAAAATATCAAGCCACTGTCTTTCATACGTTCTTTCTTTTATATAAAAAACTTATCGTAATTATCAAAGTTGATAAAGCAAGATGGATTGTGTGTCTTTTAACAACGTTATTCATTGCTTCTTGCGCATAGTTTTTCCGCAGTCTGTTTATTATGCAAACGTAGAGATTTGCTGATGAATTAGTAGCAGAACTAATTTCAGAAACTGAACGCATTAAACAATAAAAACTTGCACATGACTCACACAGAACACTCGAGATGGAATATTGACGTGTAGGCGTATCATTGCATATTTTTTTTCATTTGTATCCAAATTTACCCACGTGTGAGATCATCATAGATATCATCAATTGAGAAACGAACAGAGCTTGAAATAGACATCTTTATTAAGTATATTTATTAATCCGTTAACGCAACATTTCATTTACAATCTTTTTCTTGTTTAATTTATAGGATCGTTGAATTCTATTTTCTAACATTATGGTTATGACAGGAAGTTTCAAGGACTTGCTTGATATTATTTTGTTATCGCGTTTTTATTGGACGTTAAAATTGCGTCAAAAGATGCATTAGAATAGTTACGGAAACGGAGAATTTCTTTGCTCTATAAATAACAATTTATTGCGATTGCACTGTCTTTAGAATGTCTAGGCCCGTATCTAAAAGAGGAACTACGTACTGTACGGTGTTCTAAGAAGGGAGAATACTTAATAAATTTGGACCTCATTGTGTGCTAATTTTGCGAATCGGTATAGATGCATTTACTCCTGCAACTGACGTGAAACATATCGGAGTTTGAACATTTTATGGCTTTAACTGCTTTCTCTTTCTTAATTATTTGACTTAAATATATTTCAAATAGTTACAAATTAAAAAGTTGGAACAAGTTATTACAGAGATTAATGGAATTAAAAGTTCCCACACTGGTTAACGAGAATTTATGTACCTTGCATGTTGTTTTTATCTTGATATTTTTGATGAAAAGTTTCTTCCAACGAAGAAAGATATTTTCGCCGGTTAAATATCTTTTTGTGTGAAAAATTTCGCCATATATCTATGTTAAGAATCGTGGATCTTAATTACCGAAATAAATGTATAGGAACACTTGGATTACGCTTAGAATTGATATCAAAATAGTTTCAGATTTATTTAATATGTGATTTACAAGATATTCGCCGATATACATTTGCACGCGTCTCAGCACTTTCTTTGTCTCACCATCTTCTATGCCACACTACTAAAGAAACAGTTGCATTCATCTGTTTTTCGAG